GTCTTTTCTTTTATGGTCTAAAGCACTGAAGATGAGGGAGCATGCTGTGGTCATCACTCACAGGAGGACGAAAAGAAGCAGATATATATATTTATGGACAGCTTCATCTTGGAGTTCATTGTTGTTGTCTACAATGAATGAACAATGATCATTAACAGATGGGTTGTCATTCATCAGTTCATCCTCAAAGACACCTTTGGATGTAAAGGCAAGTACTTTAGCATTTATTGAAAACTAAACTTACTCACAATAATCTGATTTAGCTGTCAAATGTTTTTAGGTGCTGCAAACCCAAACTAAAGAACGATGGCACTGGGGCTGAAAATGTGCAATGAATAAAACTATTTACATTTTAACAAATACAACCGATTGATTCTTTTCTCTCCTTTTGGTTTGCAATATGCAAGTGTTAAACTTAAAAGGCTGGGTACCTACAAGCTTAGGTGTCATTGACATGTCCCCACCACATTTTGAAATGGCTGATTTTGTCCCCATCACTTTTTGAAAGCATTTCTTAAAAACATTCTGAAAAGTAGCACCAAGAAATGTTAACTAAGAAATGAAAATGCTTTGAGAAAGGTTTATTTGCAATAAGAAAACATGCAATATAGTTTTCCCTCGTAAAAAACAGACATTTCCACCATAAATTGGAGCAGAAAATGTTTCCAGAATGCAGGAAATTACGAGTTTAATGCTCAAAATCTTCTGGGGCAGTACTCAGACCTCCAGCACATATATTTCACCATCATAGTTTCATCTAAATAGTACTATATTTTTGTCTTGTTCTCGTTCATCGTCACATCTTATGTGTAAATGTATCATCACACCCCTAATCTGAGACCTTATGTGCCCACTTTACAACACAAAGTGACACCCTTGCTTACTAGTTACAGTGCTAGTAAACAGAGCTGAACAGTTTACAAGAAAGAATGACCTCCTTTAGCATCTATTAATTCATTAAGGTGTTTTTCTCAGTTGTGATGTGCTACCAAAATAATATACTAATGGACTGAATTCAATAAAAAACAAATGATTTGGTCGCCCCCTTCAGAAGGCCAGCCACATCTGTAATAATACATTGAGAAACAAGTCTATTATCATCCTGCACTGCAACAGCTCTTAAGGCAGGCTGGAGTGAAAACAAACTTACCTTTCTCAAGTTATACAGTAATGTAATAATGTGAAATATACTGTATATGAAGGTGGATCAAACACAGCTGACCTTGAATGTAAACAGGGTACAGAGGAGCCTAGAATTTATTTTCATTCTTAACACACAATAGATAAGCTTTGCAGGCTGTTGTAAAAAAAAAAATCTTGCATGTTCTCCACTTTATTATTTGTTATTCTGTAGCTACACAGTAATATTATGGGTGTGGGCTGTATTAAAAGTATCCACTGTTCTTCCATGCTCTAATAACACAGTAACAACGAACTATTTCTCCCATGCTTCCTCTGTATTTTCTAAACTATGTATTTTTCAGAGTTTCAAAACTTTTTTTCACACATTTGCACACCAGTTTTCAGATCACCATTTACAAGGTTTCAAACCAGGAAAACAAACTAATACACTGGGATTGAAGATTGCAAATCTTAGTTTTCGATCTTGCAAAACTTTTTTTTGTAAGATTTTGAGTTTTCAAATACTTAGTTCCAACCTTTCTGAACTTTATTTTCAGTTTTGAATCAAGGCAGGATAATAATCCCATAAAATCTGATGTTGTGGTTAGAAAATAATGATGCGTCTGCATCGCTTTGTAGATACATTAATGTTTGTAAATTATGTGGAATCTAAAGTGAGTCATAATATGAGAGTGACAAAAAATGTTGCAGATTTCTTTCACAAAATCACTAGAGGGCAGTCAGTGTCAAGTTTCTAAAAGGAGACACTCAGATCTGCTGTTCTCATTGATCTTAACTGACACTTGAACTCTGGACTGAACTAAAGCTTAACATGTACACTGGATACTGTGATAGTTGATACTTTTCTACCCTAAACAAAAGTCATGTGTTAACTTGATTCAGCGCATTTTGAACTGAAAAGTATGGCAGCATATTTAAGTTAATTATTTTATACAACAAACAACATCCCGACAACAATTAACCACCTAGCATGATATTTGATTAAGACAGAGATAAATGTAAAATGTAGTTATAATCACAGAAAGTAACATATAAATGTGTGAACTACTTTAGTTTTTTTCTAATATAAAAAAAATATTTTTTGCATTTAGTCACACAGGTTTCAGTTCCTGAGCAACTGTTTTCTTTGACATCTCCAAACACTGAAATTATTCATCATCGTCTTTTACGCAAACCTTCAAACCAGCAGCATCAGACTTAAGTCTTTATACCATCTACATGATCCCGGCTGCGTCACTGTATTTCTGTTTGCAGCAATATTATTTTAATGAATATGTTTTCCATTATCCATGATTCATGTTAATATTTCCATTAAGAATAGTTATAATGAAATAATGTACAATGAAATTAAAACATCATTTGTAAAGCAGAGGTGATTTCCAGGCATGTTTTCACTCTGCAGATATAATAACAGTCAACAGACTCTTCTATTGGCTCCAGTTAGACCAACATTGATGCTTCATGTGTTTGATTCTATGCAAACTCAGTGACCTTCCTTGTTACTCAGCTATAAAAACTTCCCATCAGGCTGTCAGTGGAGTTCACAGCACGTCACTTTCAACATAAACTATGTTTTCTGTAGCTCTGCTGCTGCTGTTGGCAGCTGGATGTGAGTCTCTCTGGATTTGTCAAAGTCAGCAGTTCTTCTTTTGCAGTATAACTTGATCATTTGTTACAAAACATTTTCTTTTTGAACAGGTGTGAAGTGTGAACAGTTGACACAGCCAGCCTCTGTGACTGTGCAGCCAGGTCAACGTCTGACCATCACCTGTCAGGTCTCTTATTCTGTTAGTGGCTACTGGACAGCTTGGATCAGACAGCCTGCAGGGAAAGGACTGGAGTGGATTGGAAGCGGAGCTGGATCCAGCACATCCTACAAAGATTCCCTAAAGAACAAGTTCAGTATCTCCTTAGACTCTTCCAGCAAAACAGTGACTCTAAACGGACAGAATATGCAGCCTGAAGACACTGCTGTGTATTACTGTGCCAGAGATCCACAGTGAGAGACAATAATGTGAGAGTCATACAAAAAGTACTTCCTTTTTTTACCACCACCACTATCGACATTTACTTGCCGTCTCAGTATTACTTGTTTTGTTATTTTCACAATGCTGATTGAATAGTAAAGTTGCAACATAAGAAAAAACTACAGTGTTGTTTGCCCTTTGAAGCAATGTTTCAAACAATACTTATTATTATAACGGTTTCCATGTATCTTTATAATGACATTGATTGATATCACGCATGTGCTGAAAAAATTTACATTATTTTGTTTAATTTAGAGATAAACTCTTCTACAAGATTTGCAGATTGAATACCAAATTTTTAAGAAAACAATTTTCCCACACAAACCAATGCGCAATTAATTGTCTGGTCCATTATATACCTTATAGCCTGTCAGTGTCCTTCTCTATGCAAAGTGAACTTCTTCACAGTCTGCTATAAAGACTTGATATCATGCTGTCAGTTGCAGCAGCAGAAGAGAAGCTCCCATCAGATCACCTTCAATACCAACCATGTTCTCTGTAGCTCTGCTGCTGCTGCTGGATCCTGTGAATCTCACTGAGGCAGAGACACTGACAGTATGATCACAGCACACTGACTGTTCACTGTTATTTTTCCTTTTTTTTTATTGCAAGACAAAATACACAATATAGACATGACAATACAATGGAAAGAAGAAGAGAGAGACAAATGAAAGAAAAACATCAACTAAACATATACATGACAACAATAACAACAGCAGAAACAAATTGACTTAATCTTGTGTGTGTGTGTGTGTGCGTGTTTGTGCTGTGTGTGTAAATACAAGCCTCCCATATTGTCAGGGAAGGGAGATGCCTACTGGATAGAAAATAGAGATAGGCTAGGAGGCTGGCGGGGGACTACAAGCGAAGAAGAAAAAAAAACAACTTTTTGTTATCATTACTATAATAGTGATAACAATAACAATAATAACAAACAAGTATGGGTTATTAATAATAATACAAACAAAAAGTCAAAATAGGATTGGAATACTGCTGCTGCCACCGTCCCCAACCGCTGCAAGTGACAATATACGTAGTATTTGAGTCATCTGCCCCTCGGCCTCAGGCCCTGTCAGTAAGGTAACGCGAGGGCGCCTCCCGGGGCAGCGGAACGGGACAGCAAGGGTTGGGCACGCCGGGTCAGCACACCTTTATGCTTAGAAAGTTTTCCTATTTTACTCTGTTTGTCTTTTAAAAGATTGTTGGTTTGTTTGTTTAATTTTGTCTGATGCTGGTCCTATTTTGGGTTGCTCCCAGACCCTTTAGGAGGGAGCCAGCCCAAAGTGACCATGTCCACTTTCTAAACTGCTCCCAGACAGTGAGGAGGGGGCCAGTTAAGTAGAGACTGTGCATTCATGTGCAAATTAAACATTTATTTGATGTGTAAAATATAGAATATTTGATGTGGAGAGTAAAGAATATGGGGACCCAGCCCTGACCAAATAGGCCTCTAGTAGATATTGTTCAAAACATGATTTGTGTCTATTACGGTTGGTTTGATTCGGCAAGAACCATGGAAACAGGATTGGATGAATTTAATGAATGCTGTCCAGGTAGAGTGTGAGTCTATCGTGATGTTTGTGGTGGGGTTAGATAAGTTTTCCATGGATATGTACTCTATCATTAAGTTTTTCCAATGTGTTATATGTATGGCGGTGATTTCCAGTTCAGAATGATGGTTTTCTTGGCGATAGTTAGAGCCACAAGGAGTAATCGATTGTTTTCCTTATTTTCCAGACTGATTGCTGATATATCACCTAGTAAGCAGAGGGGAGGTGACTGTTCACTGTTATTACACTGATTCAAAATTCAACATGTTTTTCTCCACAGCTGTGAAGTGTGAACAGTTGACACAGCCAGCCTCTGTGACTGTGCAGCCAGGTCAGCGTCTGACCATCACCTGTCAGGTCTCTTATTCTCTTGGCTACTACACAGCTTGGATCAGACAGCCTGCAGGGAAAGGACTGGAGTGGATTGGAATGAGAGTTGGCTCCAGCACACATTACAAAGATTCACTAAAGAACAAGTTCAGTATCTCCTTAGACTCTTCCAGCAACACAGTGACTCTAAACGGACAGAATGTGCAGCCTGAAGACACTGCTGTGTATTACTGTGCCAACACAAACCATTAGTAGACCTGAACAAAAACCTCAGCGCCTGAACACTTGTTACATGAAGCCACCAGAGGAGGAGCCCTCAAACCACTAATGACTTCAACACCATATCACTGTTACAGAGGGAAACAGTCTAGAGTTTTATTATACAATAAAAAAATCTAATTATCCTAATTTCAATTGACTGCAACTGTTTTTTTATTCTAAATTCTGACATTGCAATCACTGATAAGTGATACATATGTTTTCCCACAATGAAGAATAAATGAATATTAAATCTTTCAATTAATGAAATACAGTCAGCTGACAACCTAGCTTTAAATCCTCATCATCTAAAAAGAAACAGATTTTTTTGTCAGTTTCTCCTCCATAAAATCTTTACTTACATAAAATAAAACTCATAATTATCTGAATCAATACTACATCAGTAACTATAACAGTAGTCTTTACTTTACTGCAGATGTAAATTAGCCTAAGGCTAACTCTGGTGTAATGCATCAAATGTTTACATTTATGTTATTAATTGCACATGGTCCCTTCTAAATAAAAAAATCAATCAATCAATCAACCAATTATGGTGATGTTCAAAACAGAAACAAATAAAACCAAACATTAATACATGTTTTTTAAACTGGTTTCAGTGAAAAGTGGAAAGTGGGTAGAAACTCTGACATCCGACAATTTTAATGTGGCTGCAAAACCTATTATTAAAGGTTTGCTTTTCAGTTGTGTGTTTTTGCTTGTAATTTGTTCTGTTACTCATGAATAACCTGGAGTCTAATTTCAAACAAAAAAAATCAAAGCACAAAATTTTACTTCTCAGAACAATTAGGATTCAAATTCAGACGTTTAAACCAAATTAATTTGGCTCAAATCACAACAGTGAGAACAGGTGATGTCCAAGTCCAAATCAGCAGTATCTTCCCTGTGAAGAGGAGTCAATGCAAAACTCAGATGTCTTCCACCTCTACTTATCTGACTGCAGAGAGGATGACAGAGAACAGTGGACACACAGTTTAAAGGTTCAGTGTGCAAGTTTTAGTTGCATCTAGTGGTGAGGGTTGTGAATGGCAAATAACGGCTCAGTCACCGCTCACCCCTCACTTTGCAAGCATGTAGGAGAATCTACGGTGGCGACACGCTCTGTTGGCTCTTGTGCTTAATAATACACGTGGTCTTCCATTTGTCCAAATTTTACTAATAAAACGAGACAACTTCTTCTTCCTACTTCTTTTGAACATTTTGATAGATTAGCAGCTTCCATCCATTATTTCCATGATGTGAAACATGTTTTTGCTATTTCATACTGTAAGTATGAAACTTTTAACATTGTGTTGTGAGAATGAGAAAAATGTGAAGAAAAGGACACTGGAAGCAGCTGGTTCTGGTTCTTGGGGGGTCTTCATATCGATACTGTTTGACTGCCTGACACATATACAAGCCATGTAGTAACATGATTCGCCTGTGCTTTTACTCTGATGGCCTGTGTTTTAAGACTGATAATTGTTGACTGCTTAGCTCAGATTGCAAAAGTACAAAGTTAAAGTAAGAAAGATGTTTTGTTTGATTTACTGTTTTATATTTTTATGTGTCTCTGCAGTCTCTTGTGTGTTGACCTTTGCTCGGCCTTCAGAGAACTACGGTTGTACATGATCATATTTCAGATTAGACGCTGATGTCCAGTAAAGAGGAAGTAAAAGTCCGCTCTTGCTGGAAACTCGACCCTTTAGAGAACTAAAAAAGGTCTCCCTGACGACAGATGGGTGGACGCCTTACGAAAACCAGAAAGAGTTTTTCGTCTCATTTAGTTTTCTTTTCCCTCTTCTGGACTGGTTAGTTAGTGTTTACTTACTTTAACATCCAATTAAGGAGCTCATTCCAGGTTATGTGTTCAGTGCCCTGCTCTCTGGAATCTAAAGCGAGAGGGGAAGCGGGGTTTACTATGGAATCAGTCAGGTCAGTACCTAGTATTTAAAACTAGCTTGTTATCAGAGGTCGTAAGTGGCATCTGAATTCATAATGCTCTAAGGGTGCTAGGAGATGGTGACCCGGGAGAAACTGTGAAGAAAGAAAAGTCCCATGTTAAGTTAATATTGTGATAATGAAAACAAAAGCATATGTTGTCAAATATATATTTGACCTGTTTCTTATTTGTCGCACAACATGTTGTCAAAATTGACTGTGCATGCAAAATAAAATGCATTAATATGTTCACTTACTCTGACTGGTGTTCAGTTTGACCTATTTGAATAAAATGTAAAAACTAAATTACTATTTAATAATAATTGAATGATTGTTATTATGTAAAAAGTGAACTGTGTGTTTGTCAAATGTTTCTCCAATGAAATATGAAAATCACTTTGTGGACCTGCATTTGTGTCATGGTAATTCAGTGAGGAGTATGTTTAAAGCTGTTTGCTGGAGTATCACTTAATGAAACAGCAAATGTAACTTTTGAAGACAGCTCATATTAGGCAAGTTTCAACTTTAGATTGCCTAAATCTAATTTGTTTGGCTGGTGTTTGCAACTCATACATTGTAGTTATTTAAAACCAACAAAACAAAATGACAACGCAAGCTGTCTTGCAGAGATGATGATAAACCTTTTCTTTATTGGAACATTACAGAACATAACAGAGTTCATGCGTCTGACTGGAAAATTTCTTTGTATTGGTTGTGTACTGAGGGGTTACAATTAATATTCTCAACAGTGCTCTTAATTTGTATAGGCTAATGATAGATTATTTTTCTTTTCCCCAGTATTCTGAAAATGGTTTGACTTATGAACTCTCTGTGAAAAAATCAACAGCATAACACTTCGTTATGGTGTTATTTGCTGATTTTTCTTTTAAAACGTAATACATTGATAAACATTATCTAATGTATTTGTCAGCCTTTTTCACAAATTATATTAAAACATTAAACTCAGGTACAGTAAACATTTATTCTCCATTTTCATCACAAAGTAAGAAAGGTTACAATATGGTAACCCTAGTTCTATTAACACAGGCAGAGCCCTCTTTGGGTACTGCCTCCTCCAATCACACACGCAATTGCCCACTGAAATTTGTAGAGGTGGATCTGCTGAACCACATCCGGGTGCACTCTCCACTCTCTCAGTTGGGGGCCAGCCCTCAACATGAGGTCTCAGACACCACCCTGTCTGTTGATGTACGTGCTGGAGGACCAGAAACACAACCTGGAGTGGTTTGTGGATTGGTGAGAGCCGAGGGGGCCACACACCACCGACTGCTCTCCCCCAGCAGGTCCCTCCCCATCCAGTCAGAGATGCATCCATGATGACACATCTGAGGACACCCTGCCTAGCAGCACCTGCGCTGCCAGACGGTGAGGAGAGTCCCAGAATTGAATACTTGTTCCACACTGTCAGTGTTTACAAGGTGTGCTCAACAAAAACATGAACATATAATTGTTTGTGTTGTATTAGTGTAAGCAGACTGTGTTTGTCTATTGTTGCGACTTAGATGAAGATCAGATCACATTTTGTGACCAATTTATGCAGAAATCCAGGTTCCAACGGGTTCACATACTGTTTACTACGAATAATATTTGTGACCCACAGTGTAATCTAGCTCCAGTTGTGTTCCACACCATTGTAGGAAGAGCAGGAAGAGAGTCTTAGCCATTTTGGGGACCCAAACCACTGTTTTGATCTGTGCTGTCTCAGCCTCAACACTGGTCGACAACCTACCAACGTGAACACGTCCGCTATTGTTAACAAACACATGCACCAAACACACACACCCCACCTACATGCACACACACCTCTACATGCTTGCTGATTGTTGTATGTGTGCTTTTGCTTATCTGTGCCAAAGTTAAACACATTTAACTTTTTCCTTTTGTTCCTTGTGGATATTGTTTGTGGTAATGCAATAACAGCTAATAACTACCGTAATAACCTGTTTGCTAACAACCTAGCCTGCCCCGACCAGATCCCAGCAGAGGGTTGACTGATGTCCCCACTTCCACCATATATCTCCATTTCAATTGCTTTCTTCCTGTGAGAAGGAGTCAATGCAAAACTCACCTGTCCTCCACCTCTTTATCTGACTGCAGAGAGGATGAAAAACCATTTACAAAAGTACACTATTTACACACCAACAAGGCCAAGGCCCCACAAGTCACAAAGGCCAAACCTGAGAGATAGAGGGGCTGCTAGGGTTAGTGCGCAAGATGTAAGACCGACTCAAGGAATACAGGAGGCCATTCAGGTCAGCCAGCAAGACGCTAAGCTGACCACGGAGACAACGGTGAAATGACCACACTGCCCCCAAGGCTTCAGTCATTCATTGACGAGACACACCGAGCACTGGCTCACTAAAGGAGGGGATGGCTGCCACATTCAGACGGTAGAACCCTGTAAATGTGGACTGAGATGACCACGTGGTTGCTGTACATATAGCCGCCCCCCACCACAAGGCCCACGAGGTAGCAATGCCACAGGTTGCGTGTGCCCTGCTTAGGTGACCACACTCCAAGCAACGCAGTATACACATTCAAATCTTCTCTCTCTTCCAGCACGGAAGTGGAGGGAGGAGGGGGTTATGAAACAGGTCTGATGAAGGCCCAAGAGCAGAACGAGGAAGGGAAACCCGCCAAGACCCTGAACACTCCCCTCTGTCTGTTCTATTTTCTGCCTTTCTTCACATTTGCGACAGAGGCTCCTCAGAAAGAGAGAGACGTGCTCACTTTGTTTTAAAAAAGCAACAATGTGCTTCCCTAGTACACGTCTGCAATATAAAA